ACCCTGAACACCTTCGATTCAGACTCTGCATTTTACAACAAACTCGAATCCACCAGCAATGCTAATTCAAATCTTCGATTCAATCCTCGGAACAGCATGACCAACAACGATGTGTTCCATTCGATGAACTCACCATTCGTCTCTGCCATGGCCACCACTGCTCGAGCCAACGGATTCATGGATGGCTATCATAGTTTTGATAACGACAGGAAATTTTCTGATGACATCACTGATTCTGCGGAGAGAGGTTTGTTCAGACCCATACAGGATGCAGGTGTACAGGATGGTGGATTGTTGCAAGGACAAGATCCTGATTTGATTCCAAGAGATCCTTTATCCATAAGACACGGTGATTCTTTGGAAGATGGTTTAGCACAGAATTTCAACGTCACTGGACGTGGAGGCAGTGTATCAGAATACAGAAGAAGAACTATGGAGTATGTGGATTCCAATGCGAACAACCAAGACTTGACACCACATTCACCAGGTTCGAACGAGGATATTTTAAACAACCCTCTAGAGAAAACATCTGATTACAGCACTGCTCGGAGTGACTTCCAAACCGATAGTTCCACCCAAGAAGGCAACGTCCTGTCCAATCTGGTATCACGCATTACCATAGTATCAGAAAGAAGAGTGACTGTCAAAAATGAAGGTATAATTTCCAAACCAGGGACTTCTACAGGTGCTATTCCGAAGAGCATAAGCTTCGACAGCACTGCTGATAAATACCATCCGCATAGAGATTTTGATGTCAGACGAGGAATGGGAAATATGTTTAATAAATTGAAGCAAGGTTTTAAGTCGAGGAGAGGCAAAGGTGGTAGGAACGATGCTGAGAGGTATGATGAATTTGAAACAAGGGGCAACAGCAGACGACAGATGGGGGAGTGGATGATATGGAAACCAACGACAGCAGGCCTGTTGTAAACAATCAAGGTAATAATAACACTTGCCTACAAATTTTTTTTTTTGTTTGGTGCATCAAATGTTAGAGCTGATTCTTATAGTTTTTTTTTGCGCTGATTTCAAATCTGCGAACCATTTTTTTTGTATCAACTCTAGTTTGGAACTTGGAAAAAAATTGCCGAAACCAGGTTCATTGTAGGTCGTCACGGAAAAGAACTTTTCTTTCACAGTGTCAACTAATGTCCTAACTAAGGCCGAATGGGTCTTGTAAGTTTGTATGTACGAGTAGGCATATCTCATTAAAATAACATTCTGAATTGTATTACTAATTTGTACTTTCAATTCTTATATATTATATATATCATATCTTGAAAACTAAAGCTCATAGAAAAAAACCAACGTCATTTTTGAAATCAGCGCTTCAAATATACTTAAAAACAGCATTAAGGGGGTCTTCCTATGTGACGGCCTGTTTTTTAGGGATATTTTAGGATTTTTTTTCTACGACCAGTAAATATTTAGAGCTTCAAGTTTTTTATCATTTATTAACACATATTTGGACAGTATAAATATAAAACTTCAGCTAAAAATATTCAGTCAAACAAGAGTTACAGCGCTCTGAACACCCCCGCCTCGAAAAAAAGAGCTCCTACTTTCTTTATCTGAAAAAATAAAAAATAAACGGCGTTTTAATTTGTAGGCTTAAAAGCACGGAATGACCTATAATCAAATGAATATAAAAAAAATTGGATTTTTGATAGACAGTTGAAATAAAAGTTGCAAACCAGGCGTTTTTTTTTTTTGCTATAAAAAAATCGAAGTTTTGAAAATAGTTCATTAGTTCGACTGATAATAGTTCATTCCATGCGTTTAAATATATTGAGTGTGCCCTGTAAATTTCAAGTAATTCGGTCCAGTCGTTTCTGAGATACAATGGAGGAAAGTTTGAAAAACACAGTTTTGAGAAAAACGCGTTTAAAGTTTCTAACTGCCAACTCAGCGCTCCGAACCGCTCTTTCTTTTATCTGCTGTATCTTTAAAACGACTTCGAATTTTCTAAAATCGCTTTACTACCGTATTCTAGAAATGTTAAGGGAGCAATTTATGAAAAAAAAAACGATTTTTTCAACCCATCACATAGGAAGACCTCCTTAAAATCGTTTGCACCATTTTCTTTGTTGGCCTGTGTAATCATAATGTTAATAAATTTTAAATAATCGATATTATATATATTTTTAGATACCACTGAAGACATTCTGGCAAAGTATCGAAGAAAGATTTCGAGTTCTAGTGAAGCTGCAACTTCTGGTGCATCAGACTCGACAGGAAGTGGCAGTGGAAGTTCATGTTCCAAGAAGAATAATTTGCGACACAATGACAATAATAATATGGATTCAATTTTAGATAAACAAAGGTATAAAATATACTACATTAACTATATGCTAAACCAATTAGTACTATTTATTTTTTATTTCATTTTTTTTCAGAATGCGTAACAGTATATCAACAATGGAGCCTTCTTCTTGCAATTACGAAGATGCGAAACATAAACTCAGGCTGGTTCTGTCCAATGTGGATTTGCAAAGTGTAGACTTCAATACGAGCTGTGTGAGTATATAGTATATTATATATTTATATTACGGATACAGGATTAAATTCAGTAATTACAAAATATAAATTATCTTAATTGAATTAATTACAGTAAAATACAACTCTAAAACAATATTAGGCCTAACATTAGTATTATGTAATGCAATGACGTGAAGAAAAAATGTTATAATATTGAAATATGGTTCTTCTGATGGTAAAATAATTTTTTAAATATCCGAACCGCAATTTTCATTTGAGTCCAATATCTGGAAAATAGTAATTAAGGGCAGTATCAAAAACAAGAATATAATATGAAAATAATTGTGATGATAAAATACTTAGGATAGAAAAATGTTAAAAGTGTTAAAAAAAATTTTTTCGACGATTTTCATGATTTTTTTTGACGGTAGATACCATAGTATTCTAGATCATACTCGTACTAAAATATTACGGCCCTACGACAACTCGTTTAGCTATAAAAATTCGTCAAAGTTTGCATAAATTAGCATCGTTTTTTGGCTTTTGTCAAAATTAGACCTTTCATCGACGTTTGCTCAAAAACGCCTGAACCGATTTCAGAAATTTAAAAGCCGTTTGATGTATCTCGATGAGGACTAGCGTTTGTCAGTTTTGTGCGACGATCGGCCGAGCCGTTTCTTTGTAAATTGAAAAAAAGTGTTAAACTGTTCGTCCATATTTAAGCTCATACTACCGAATCGATTTTAAAAAATCAAAAACTGTTCGAAAGATATTAGTTGGGAATGATACTGATTAGTTTTAGGTGAAAATCTACGTTTTATTTTACTAAACTGTTGAAAAAGAAATTTAAGCCGATTTTTATGGAACTTGGCGATATATTTCATGGTCTTATAGAACTTACTGAAATATTATGGCCTTACGACAAGTAGTTTAATTTTAAAAATTCATCAAAGTTTGAGAAAATGAGTAGTTTTTTCGACGTTTGTTAAAATTAAAATTAGACAATTTACTTGGTATAACGATAGACTTAATAACTTGGTCTTAATAAACACACTAATCCATTAAAGTTCTACAGAAACTGGTTCAATTATAAAAAAAATATTGATTTGTGAAAATTTTCTTTTAGAAAATACCACGAGTTAACATGTTCGTTCAGAGGCCCACGGAAACTGGTTCTATTATAAAAATGGTTGAATTGTGAAAATTTGCTTTTAGAAAATACTGTTAAGCTGTTCGTTCGTTTTCAAAAATGTGTAATAAATCCACTCTGAATACTTTCAATCACTCATAGATTAATTTATTTTTTATTGATTAAGTCGATTATTTACACATATCGGGAAGTTCATGTAACTTGCCTCAAGGCAAAATACCAACACCAACTAGTATTCTTTATTTTCAGGCTCTTTCTGAAAACACTCTAACAACTTTCCTGCGCATTCTTCTCTCTGAGTCCCACAGCACAAATCTAGATGATAATTCCCTGTCAGTGCAACTCTACGAGACGATGAGAAGTATAGAACAACTATCGAGATCTACAGGTCTCAATGGTATTCTGGATCTGTGTCGAGATCTGCAATTTGAATATCAGTCTAGATCGCTTTATGTACAATATTTGGTTAACACGAGAAGAGTTTTGTTGCAAACTTTGGCCTACTTGGAAAGGTAATGGAAATTGAATCTCAATAACATAATAAATATTAGTAATATAATATATGTATACGAGGTCTGTTCAAAAAGTTTTCGTAATTTTCGTTTTTTCAAAAAAATATTTATTTATTCGTCTACATTAATGTGGTCCCCTTCAAAGTAGTCCCCCCCAGATATAATACACTTATGCCAGCGTTTTTTTCCAATTTTCGAAGCACCCCTGATATTCACTTTTTGATATGTCCTTGAGCACTCTCGGCGATTTTCTTCAATCGAGGAAAACCGCCGTCCTTTCATGGGTCTCTTCAACTTTGGGAATAGGAAAAAGTCACACGGAGCCATATCTGGTGAATTTTTGCACTTTGCAACACTTTATTTCATTTTTTACGCAAAATTTAATACAAATTCTTTGACTTTTTCAATTCTTCCATTGTAAAAATCGCCGAGCTCAGAAAAACACGTCGAACCTTAGCGACTACCACAGACAAAGTAAACAGTGAATATAGCTGAAAATTTCATCATACTTTAGGGGCATGTATACCAACACAATAAAAAAAAATTTTGACAATCAGACACTCCAGACCCGCGAAATTTAATTATTAGTAATTCCGGGTACTTTTTGAACAGACCATGTATATATATATATATATATATATATATATATATATATATATGTATTTATTATTACTATTTTTATTATTTTAGGATTTTAAATCGTTTGAACTCTGAGCGAACAGCATGTGATGAACATTTACTTCGAGTTGGTGTCAGGGCTTTCCTCGAAAGCAGAGAGCGAGAAATGACGACTTTCTGTGAGGATTTTTGTGCTTTGAGATTGTCGGATGAAAAAATTGATTTGCTGGAGACTTTCTTAAGAGCTATGCACAGTAGCATGCTGAAGGATGTTAATTGGCAAGGTAGGAATAATACAATAACAATAATCTTATATATAAAAATAAATAGAGCTCTCGATAAAATGATCCGCTAAAACTCGAAAACGGCTAAACCGATTTGGCCAGTCTTAGTCTTGAAAAATTTGTGCTAATCAGTAGGTTGTCGGAAGGTGAGATATTATATCAAAATCGCGTAGAAACTTTACATTCATAATTTGAACATTTTTGTAGAAGCGTAATTTGAATAAAACAATGGACAGTGGCTAATACGTCAAATGTCAAATGGTTTTGGCAGATTATGTTCAATTACGTTTAATAGGATGTTTTACGTGAATATTATTTAATTATGATTAAATTGTAGTAAGTGATTTTGTTTGTAGTTTTATTTGTATACAAAAACGTTATTGAACGGGCCTTAAGTGTTACTATAAACTCAAAATATCAACATTTTTGAAATGTTAATATGAAAATGCACTTTTTGGCGTTGTGGCACTCTTTTTTTGCAAATCATATTTTTCTCAAACACGGTGCTCTGAAAGATCTCATTTCTATAATTATAAACTCATTGATATTTATGAAACATTTATTTTTTATTTATGTTATTTAAATTCAGAACCTAAATTTGGTATCGATCAAAGGGACATTTTGTCGAATAACATTTTTCCAGTTATAATTTCTTAGAATTTATAGAAAAATAGATAGTAATATATGAAGGTCCGGGGTTAAAAAGCTCTACCACCGATGGGTCAAAAATAGTAAAGTTAAGCATAGTTTAACAATATTTAAAAGTAGAGGAAAAAAGATGTATAACCAGCTATAACCTTGATTCTTATTACTTTGCTATCGGGAGAAAATCCATAATAAAAGTATTTTCTTCCGTTGGTAGTTTTTTAGAATTAGTTAAAAGCGTAATTATTTTGTAAAATACCTTTGAAATTAAAATAAGACATTAAACCTGTTTGCCACCTGACCGTCCCAAGTTATCTCGTCTATAGGGTAAAAAAGTCTCGACAACAAATTGTTGAAAGACATCAAAAAAGCACATTTCTACAATGATGAAGAAGACTTTAATTCATTGAATATTACTTGAAACTTTTCAAAAAGCAGATCAAAGAAGAAATACTTATTCATTTTCTATCTCTCCTCGCAGAAATTTGATTTTTTTATAAGCTTAGTAGTATTATTTACAATTATACACAGAATCTAGAATTGAAAAAGAATCTGAAAAACTTGAAACGTAATCAATAAGTCGAAAGACCAAAAAAGACTTGGATTGAATGAATTATACCATGTTTTCTATAGAAAGTGTATAAAACTTCCAGTTTGATTGTATTGACAAAATATAGACAAACTAATGGGGTTTATTGTTTTTATAATACTTCATTGTATATAGCATTCAAACAACACATCCTTAGACACTTGAAAGCATTAATATTTAGATTCTCTAGAAATTGTTTAGAATATACCTTACTTAGCAAAACAACGTTTGCCGAGTCAGCTAGTATATATATATATATATATATATATATATATATATATATATATTTGCATAGTTTTATTGTCAATCAAAATAATATACATTTTTTTAAAACAATATGCTGTTGGTGTTAATGCTTTTAAGAGATTATCTCCTATGAGATATCTCTCTTTTTTTATTTTTGACTTTTTATTTAAGATCGTATGGCCATTTTTTTTTAAATCTTCGTGTGGAATATTCCTCGCTTAATTCTTTTAAATATATGTTTGGGTGACCTGGTAGTTTTTCGTGGTGTTTTTTGCTCCTTTCTTTTATCATTTCATTAATAGTTTTTATTTTTAGGTCTTTATGTAGGGTGTCATTTGTAACATACCAGGGTGCGTTCACAATGCATCTTAAAATTTTCGATTACGCTACTTGTATTTTTTTATATTTGAATTGATGTTACATAATTCTGATGTTTCTGTTCCAACTCTAGTTCTGAATAGTCTGTTTAAGTAACTATTCAATAGAATAAATATCTTGTGCGGCAAAGAATTTTTTATTTTAATGAGGCTCTCGTGCCATAATATATATATATATATATATATATATATATATATATCTATTACCCCTTAGCTGCCAGTGAAGAGCAACTCGCAGCAGCCACCCTCTGCATAGAACGCATAGTGATGAGCCGAGTCTACCTAAACGCCCTTTACCCCAACGGCGAAGGCGACATAGCCCGAGACAACGTCCTGCACGCCCACATGGAGCGCCTGTCCCGTGTGGTCACGGTCAGTCATCGAGACCTCAGGATCCCGATGAGGCACCAGAGAGAGGCCCCGTGGCCCAGAAGTCAGGCATTGCTCAGGCAGATGTCCGCCTATAGGGCTGCCAGGGACAAGGCGAGGTGCGTGGCCAGGTGTGTGACTTCGGTTATGCACGTGCTGGCCATGACGTCGCCAAGGGCCACTCCTTCGGCTGATGATTTGGTACCTGTTTTGGTCTTCATTTTGATAAAGGTAAGGGAGGAGATTGAGATATATAATAGGTTGTCAAATATCTCCCTTCCGCTTTTATATATATATATTTTGTATGATTCTGAATTTGATGTTGACATATGTATTAACAAAGTCTAATAATCGGGCATAACATCAATAAAAAACATGAATTTCTTTCAAAAATTTATTTTAAATCCATACGTTTCGGCTATAATCCTAGCCTTCATTCAGTGGAAACTAAAAATAAAATTAAAAACCAAAACAATTGAATTGGAGTGAAAAGAAAAAATAAAATAGTAATTAGTACTTACAATTAGTTGATCTTAGTGTTAAATTGGAAAATTTTAATAATCCATGGTATTAGGATATGGTAATGCACTACACTATGTATTATAAACATTAACTTGAAATTACACAATATTGTGTAATTTCAAGTTAATCATATTGTGTAATTTCAAGTTAATGTTTATAATACATAGTGTAGTGCATTACCATATCCTAATACCATGGATTATTAAAATTTTCCAATTTAACACTAAGATCTACTAATTTTTCCACTGAATGAAGGCTAGGATTATAGCCGAAACGTAAGGATTTAAAATAAATTTTTGAAAGAAATTCATGTTTTTTATTGATGTTATGCCCGATTATTAGACTTTGTTAATATATATATATATATATATATATATATATATATATATATATATATATATATATATATATATAAAAGCGGAAGGGAGATATTTGACAACCTAATATTAAGCTGTTTATAGGGGAAATTTATGTTGCTAGTTTTGTGTCTAGGTGACGTTTTGAGACATTAAAATTAACAATTCAAAATGTAGTTTGAGTGAGCCAAGGTTTAAAGGTTTTAAAGGTTTTAAAGCATGTTTAACTCATACGTTTTGATATATAATTTTATATTATTATTAGTGAATTAGTAGATTTGTGCTAATTATTATTATAATTCCAATTTCTTTGCAATTGAATTAAAATAGAACTAGTGGTGTATGGCATCGTGCCTTAAGGCAAATTGCTGGAACTTTCCGTACCGTAATGAAATTTTCGAGAAATTTTAAACGTTTTCAAATATATATTATTACAAATACTGTAATATTCATTATTTTTGTTGCTATCTTATTGTTATATCTGAGCAAATCAAATGTAAATCATAAATCAATTTATCTCCAGAACATTAACAATCGTTCTTCATTTCATTTCGAATTCAATTTAAAAAAAAAATAGTTGCCTAATTTGCGCAAAATTGAAAAAGTGCTCCCGCGTAGTCACAGTCTAAACGCCTTTGCAAATAATTCTGTGCGACATTTTCACTTATACTGTGCTTAGCTTGGCGGCATTTTCACATTTTTCTATAGTTTTCACAAAATTGGAAAAGTGCTCCAGCACATAAACAGTCTAAACGCACTTGGGTAAATATTTGCACCAGAGTGGCGCTTAGACTGTGCTTAGTCTGGGTAATGTTTTGAATTTTTAAGCCAAAATTACAAAATTATTTTATGGAAAATAAAAAAAGATGTAATAATTTTTCATCCTCAAAAGCAATGGTTTTGTCAATGCAAGCAGAAAGTTTTTTAGATCATTCAAATCGGACGCTTAGTTCACTCAAAAACTGCCATTTTTTGCACATTTAGCTCTGTATCTTCGAAATGGCGGAACCTGTCTTTGCCAAAAACGAATCACCTCTTCTACTAATCATTACAAATTGAATGTTTTTTAGATCATTCTAATCCGTTACTCCGTTCTCTCAAAAACTCGATTTGTATTTTCTGCACTCTTTGTTCCGTATCTCCGTAACGGCTGCACCTGCCTTTTCCAAAAACTAATCAGCACATCTCCCTATCAATAGGAATCGAATGTTTTTCAAACCATTCAAATCGGTTGATCCGTGCGCCCAAAAACGTAGACGAAATAATGCGGACATACAAAACACACACACACACACATCCATTTTTCTGAGCTATGCCAAAATGTTCAGAAACCTTCAAAACGTTGAGAAATGCAAAAATTTTCATTTTCAATTTTCGGCCCATTACTATATTTTATCCAGCAATTTGTCCTAAGGCACGATGTTAAGTATGTTACTTCTGGCAGTTTTTGAGAGAAATGAGCACCCGATTTGAATGATTCAAAAAACATTATGCTTGTTTTGACAAAATAAATGCTTTTGGAATATTTTTTTTGTATATTGAAAATTATTAAGATTTTAATTTCAATCCAGGCTGACGTTCTAAAGCTCACTTTCATACTTCAAATAAATAATTTTAACTTTGTAATTCAGTTTATATAATTCTTATAAATATTAGACAATGTTACAATATTTATAATAATCTATTTGAAAACATTAAATATTCCTCGAACATTTCGTTACGGTAAGGGAAGTTTCAGCAAATTGCCTTAAGGCACGATGCCATACACACCACTAGTCAAGTAATTGGGTTATCTTTTTTATATTATACATTTATATAAATATTATCTAGAATTAAACCTTGAGGTAAATTTACGTGCTATAGTCAGTGACGCCCCTATCGAGGACACAAACAATTAATATTTATACTTCTTTTATCATTCATATTTTTTTTTTTAATTTTAATTTTATTAACTTCATGCAACTTGCCTCAACGCAAAATACCACTTACAACTAATTTATATTTTTTCACTAGGCCAATCCTCCTGCCTTATTGTCCACTGTCGAGTACGTTAACAGTTTTTATGGTAACTGCTTGCAAGGAGCCGAACACTATTGGTGGATACAATTCTGTTCAGCAATCGAATTCATTAAAACCATGGATGATAATTAGAAAAACAGATATGTATATATATTTATATTTACTACTAATATTATTTTTATTACTCAGTTTATCATGAACAACCAAAAATTGTAAAATTGTAACAAAAATCTCAATCGTCCGTCGTTAGATTTTAACAGACATAAAGAGTTGATTATGAATAATGAATTAATATTTTATTTAATTAGTGTTTAGCGAAATAATTTGTACAGGGCATTCTTGTTCTCCAAAGAGCTTGAGGAAGAGATAGAAAAAATGAAGCATTTTTGAAATGAAATAAAATTTTTAGTATGAGGGACAATATGGATTCAAGTTTATGCAATGGAAAGTAAAATTATCTTATATGTCTGGTTTTCTGAAAAATGCTTCAAAATTGCGTTTGTTAGTTTTTTTAGTAGATTTATTGTAGACGAGTTCAAAAAATCTATAAACACAAATAGACATTGTATTTATGTATATATTAGGGTGGTCCTTAATATGGACGTTGTCGAATTTCTTTGCTCTCAAGGGCACAAATGTTTCCAAATTAATAAAAAAAAATTCTCTAAAAGTTTCAGCTCTTAAAATTAACATTTAGATAGTCCGCAATTCAATTAAAAGTTTCATATATTTATTATTAAGTAAATTCTTGCGCCATCTGTGAAAGCAGACTTTTAATTTTGATGTCAATTTATTACTTGAGTGTAAAAATCAACAATTAAATAAATATTTTGCTGCAAAATCAATTTTGATGCCATGACAAGTAAATATTTCGTTAAACAGTTAAACAGGGATTTAATGAGAGGTCAAGTGTTTTATAAATATTTTTAAGTGCCATAATATTTGAGTTCACAAATGCTATCACAGATATAATATATGGTAATAATGAGTATACGAAACTTTTAATTGAATGACGGACTATCTAAATGTTAATGTTGAGAGCTAAAATTTTGGAGAATTTTTTTTTATTAATTTGGAATCATTTGAGCCCTTGGGAGCAAAGATTTGAAAAAGGCCATATTAAGGACCACCCTAGTATATATTTATATATATATATATATATATATATATTTGTATATTTGAAAATAATTAGCAGCTTATTCGTTAAGTAAAAAAAAATTAATTATACGTTTCGACACCTAATTTATGTCATCATTCAGCACGTCTAAAATACAATATAATGAATTCAAATTTAGGAAAAATTAATTATAAAGTGAAAAGAAATATACATACCAATTAGGACAAAACCCTTAAAACGCTAAAATTAGTTTAAAAACAAATTTAAACTTTTTAAATAAATCAAGACATAACTAAAAATAAGTACAAACACATAAACAATATGAATATTTTTAGTTATGTGTTTAAAACTAATTTTAGATTTTTAAGGGTTTTGTCCTGGTCGGTATGTATATTTCTTCCTATTTTATATATTTTTTCAACAATTTTTTTTATTTATTTGTATTCGTCATAATGTATTCCAGATTTGCTGAATTGTGTCACACATCAAGTGTCGAAACGTATAATTAATAAAAATGTTTTTCTTTTGACTGTTTATATTATTTATTTACATAGCATATATATATATATATATATATATATATAATTAGATGATAGTCTTGGATTTGTAAATATTTTCTAGATCTTTTAACAAAGAATCCAAAAAAGTAATAAAAAACGTTTTTGATAAAAACGTTTTTACTGAAAAAGTGTTAGTATATAATCAATCACAGGTAATTAATTCTGTTTTTTCAGTAAGCTTTTCTTAAAACTTTCTATTTTTTTAACATTTCTAATATTCTATTATATAATCCACTAATTTATTATTATTATTTTCATTTTGATTATATTGTCATATTTCTGTACATTATTTTTTCCACAATTTTATTCATTTTATATATAAAAAAAATCCACCATTTTTTGCTTTTCTTAAACATATTGTTTGCTTAAATCTTATCAAGATCATGTTTCTTGATAGATGTCCTGAAGATGGAACGTATCTAGTTCCGAAACGTCGACAGTAAATAAATAAAAGGTTTTTAAAAAAACTTTTTTGTTTTTTATTACTTTTTGGATTCTTTGTTCGAGTTACAAAATATTTACAAATCCAAGACTCTGTCATAATATATATATATATATATATATATATATATATATATACACGTATATATATATATATATATATATATATATATATATATTTATTTACACATGACTATTTCTGTTTATTACTTTTATCAATTCATATCCCATGTAGTTAGTTTTATAATAAAGTTCTCTATAGTGAAAATATATATATTTTGTTATAATAAGACCTGTAAGTGTATTCTCCTAGATTTAGATAAATGAAGAGTTATTTAAATATCTGTTATTTATATATAGTTTGATAATTTATATAGATATTTTTGCTGGTTTGTTTGTTCGATCGATAATTGAAAATCAATTATAAATAAATAAAAATTATATTTTCATAATTGTATAACAAGTTGTGTAGCAAGATGTAGAATGTATTTTTGATAAATACATAATTTGATGAGAGAAGGAAGGAGCAGGCGGTAGTGTTGTTGTATGTTTAAAACATTCCATTATTTTTACAACGAATAAAGGATGAACGTCTTGCAAAGTATGTTTTATTTAATGATAACAATAATTATACATATACATATATTTATATATATATATATATAGTAATTTTTAATAAGGTTTCTTTTTTACTATTTTTATTTAAGGATTTTATTCACAATAAAAGCCAGAAAAGTTTTATTTGTAATATTAGAAGAAGCATAAAATCTTCAACCTCAGACTCACTTAAAATTATATATATTTATATCATGTTAAGTTTAAAAAAATAAGCTAAGAAAAAAATTAAAATAAAAATATTTTGAATCAAAAATCAAATATAAAAGGAATCAAAATGGCATTTGCTGCGAAGAGACGTAAAATAATTTATATGTTTTAAATGTTTATATGTTCTAAATGACATAAATGTTATTATTATTTTATTATTAAATATATAAATATATTGCACGAAAATAAATCATAAATTCATCCTTTATGTATAAAGGATAAAAAATAGGCTTAAAAAAATAAGCTAAGAAAAAATTTAAAATAAAAATATTTCAAATGAAAAATAAAATATAAAAGGAAACAAAAGGCATTAGCTCTGAAGAGACGTAAAATATATTATGCATCCTAAATAATATAAATGTTATTATTATTTTTTATATATAATTATAAATAAACTATTTAAATAAAAATTTATAAGAAAATATATAAATATACCACACAAAAATAAAATATAAATTTATCCTTAGGATAAAAAAATATAACAAAAAGCAAAATAAATTTGCTCCTAATTTATTATATTATTAATTTGTACTAAAATATAATAATAAATATAATAATTACTAAATTTTAACAAATTATTTTTACATTTAACAAAAATATTAAACAATATTTTTACCTAAACTAAATTTTTTTAATGAAATTAGTGAGTCTTTTAAATTTTTAAATAAATTAATTTAAATACATCAAAAATAAAAAGGGAATTTATTCAAATTTTAAGAAATTATGAACATATTATCAAAATATAAATTATTTATCAATTTTTCTAAATTTAATCAATTTTTCTAAATCTTTGATAAATCGTAGGTAACGTTTTTTCCAAATTATATAAAAAATATAGCAATTTTATATATTATTTCCAATAGTTAATTATTACTGAATAAAATTTCTTAAAAACAGTAATAGAAAGTTATAAAATAACAATTACAATAATAAATTTAAACATTTTATTTTTCCATTTTATAAAATTACCTAATACACCTTTAGTTTGTTTTATATGATAATTTGTAGGTAAAAAATCTTCTATTATAAATTTTTTTTTAAATTAGTATACATAAATTTAAAATATACTTTTAAATTTCATATATTATTTTTAGTAGTTAATTATTACTGAATAAAATTTCTCAAAAACAGTGACAGAAAGTTATAAAATAACAATTACAATAATAAATTTAAACATTTTATTTTTGCATTTTACAAAATTTCCTAATAATAATAGTTGGATTTATATGATAATTAGATAAAAAAATCTTTTAGATATTTTAAAAAATATATATAAAATAAATGAGTGAATTTTATATATTATTTTTAATATTTAAATATTACTAAATAAAATCTCTTACAAACAATAACAGAAAGTTATAAAATAACAATTACATTAATAAATTTAAACATTTTATTTTGCATTTTACAAAATTATCTAATAATAGTTTGATTTATGTGATAATTTGTTGGTAAAAAATCTTCTAGTATAAAAAATATACATACTTAAATTTAAAATAAATTTTTAAATTTCATATATTAATTTCAGTAGTTAATTATTACTAAATAAAATTTCTTAAGAGCAGTAACAGAATGTTATAAAATAACAATTACAATAATATTTTTAAACATTTTATTTTTCCATTCTATAAAATTACCAAATACACCTTTAGTTTGTTTTATATGATAATTTGTAAGTAAAAAATTTTCTATTATAAAAAATATACATACATTTAGAATATACTTTTAAATTTCATATATATTTTTAGTAGTTAATTATTATACTGAATAAAATTTCTCGAAAACAGTAACAGAAAGTTATAAAATAACAATTACAATAATAAATTTAAACATTTTATTTTTGCATTTTACAAAATTATTTAATAATAATAGTTTGATTTATATGATAATTTGTAGGCAAAAAATCTTTTAAATATTTTAAAAAATATGTATGAAATAAATGAGTGAATTTTATATATTATTTTTAATACCTACTTAATTATTACTATATAAAATCTCTTAAGAACAGTAATAAAAAATTATAAAATAACAATTACAATAATAAATTTAAACATTTTATTTTTGTAATTTATAAATTACAATTACAACTTTTTTACAAATACAAAATTATTTTACAAATTCAAAACTATTTTACAAATAATTTGGTTTATATGATATTTTGTAGATAAAAAATCTTCTATAATAAAAAA